CCTCCTCCTCCTCCTCCTCCTCCTCCCCCCCCTCCTCCTCCCCCCTCCCGGCCCCGCTCTCGCGCGCCGCGCCTCCTCCGAGCGGCGGCGCCCCCCGCAGTGGTTCGACCTCCCCAGGCTCGCGCAGGACCCGCAGGCTCCCCCCGCCGCCGCTCCGCCGTCGGGGAGGAGGAGGTCCGTCGAGGAGGAGGAGGAGGAGGAGGAGGAGGAGGAGGAGGATCGAGCAGTGGCGAGGTGTCCTGGCTTGCCGTATACTGGGTTGGGCTTCTGCGACCAATCCGACATCAGTCGCCTGCGAGTTCCAATCGGGCGCCAGCCCGGCGCAGCCCAATCCGGCGCTGACTTTCTCAATATGATTAGTATGCCCGTCGCGTTTATGGTTTGTCGCCCTCCGCTTTGACGTGCGCAATTTGGGTGAGCCAGATTGCATCAGTTGACAGATTGCCAGATTGGCTGCGTCGCCAGATTGGTGGGCCTATACGATAGGCCCACCAAAGAAGATTTGAGAACCTGTTGTGGTCCTGTGTTGACACGTCGGGTTCACGTTCTAAGAACAGTGTGTCCGTTCTCAGAACAGCTTGGGGTTCTAAGAACATTTCGTGGTAGGCCGATGGGAATGCCGAGGCGGTCGGTCCCTGCTCAACGGAGGGGGCGCCTGGACCCCCTCGAGTACAGTCGGACCAGGGTATAAGATCGAGGTCGGCTCGGGCAGGGTACCCTAACGTAGGGAGGAAGGAAGGGACTCTCCAGGGCTGGACTGACCTGAACGCTCTGTTGCTGGGCTTCGACTGTGTTTTTCTCGTGTAGGCTGGGAGGTGCAGGAAAACAGGGAGCGCGAGAGCGAAGAACATAACGAAACCAGAACGAACACACAACGTCGAGGCCCAGCCCTGCGACTCTCCACCTCTCTGCTCCCCTTCCCCTTGCCTCTCTCCCCCTCGGCTTGCTCCTCAAGCCCCTGCCCGCGCATCCGTGTCCGCTCGCCACGGCTCTGCCCGTCCCGCAGGCGCCCCCGTCTGGTTTCGCCTGCCCGCGCCCCCCCCGCCCCCCGTCCACACTTGCACGCTGGTCGCCTCCGCCTCCTCCTCCTCCTCCTCCTCCTCCTCCTCCTCCTCCTCCTCCTCCTCCTCCTCCTCCTCCTCCCCCTCTCATCTCCTCACCCTCCTCGTCACTCCCCCTCCTCCCTCGTCCTCTCCTCTCCCCCTCCTCCTCCTCCTCCTCCTCGCCCGCTCGACGGACTGCGTGGACCGCACGTTCCTCTCGTCCGTTTCCTCGTCCTCCTCGTCCCTCCCCCTCATCGTCGTCTCCTCCCCTCTCCTCGTCGTCCCCTCCTACTCCCTCCTCCTCCCCCACCTCCTCCCTCCTCTCTCCTCGTCCGCCTCGACTGACCTTCACGGGTACGTCCTCCTCCTCGTCCGCTTCCTCGTCCTCCTCCCCCTCCTCGTCGTCGTCCTCCTCCTCCTCTTCCTCCTCCTCCTTCCTCCTCCTCCTCCTCCTCCCCCCCGCCAATGCCCCCCCTCCTGTCTTTCACCCCTGCCCCCCTTCCCTCCCTCCTTCCCTCCTTCGGCCTCCTCTTATTCTTTCTCCTTCTTCCGTCCACGGGCCATGTCCAGCCAGAGACTTCAGAAATATCTATTGGTCGTTGAAATCGTTGAAATAATGAGTTGTTGTTATTACCGGATCCCAAATCAACGTCAAGCCCCGTCCTACTTCAAGAGTCGTTATGTTTTGTTGTGTGATTGTCATTATCTGGGATGATATGGGCCCAGTCTACTTGGTCCGCCTTCCTACGTCATGCGTTTCACATTATTCTTCCGACCGACGTGTATAATCAACATTGGTATTATGCAGTCGGACCGAGGTATAAGATCGAGGTCGGTCGTCCAGGGTACCCTCCTCTTCTTCGTGTTTGTGGGATGCTCTGGTTTCTGGGGAGGATGCCCTTGGCTGTTCTGTGCGTTTTGGCTGGCGGAGGGTCTCATGTTCTTACAGGATGGTATCCTGTCCTAGGTCCAACTGCAATGAAAAAAAACACGTCGGAGGGTCTTTGCGCGATTCTCGGCCTCGGGGGCCACTGCTGGGCCTCGGGGCCGTCCAAAAACGACTCGGGATGCAAAACTGGCCCTGGGGAAGGAGTCTAGACCTCTGGGGCCGACGTTATGAAATAATCACGACGTCGGGGGCAAGTGCGATGGCGAGGTGGACGGAGGGTTGGTCGGCCACGCGCAGAGGGAAATAGGGGGAGGCGGGAGGCTTCTTAAAAGCACCCCTGCTTCTCAGAAGGCGCGGGCCTTTTCTGTACATGCAGGGCCGGCACCTTCTAAGAAGCAGCCTTCTTCTGAGAAGCCTTCCCCACTCCCCCTATACCCCCTTGCGCGCGCCGCCACTCTAAGTGCGGGTCAGAACAGCGCCTGATGAGGGCACGCGGTGCTCGAGGAAAAGGTGGTGGAAGTGCGAGGAATGCGCAGGTGGTGAGGAAGCAGAGGGGGAGAAGGGGCGTGGCAGGCAGGTGGTGTGGATGCTTGCTTGCTTCGACATGAGGTGCGGTTGTTCACCGAGCTTGGGTGCAGTGATGACGTCAGCAAGTAGATATGTGAAGTGATACATGTGAATTGAGGCGAAGTGGATTGAACAAGATGCAACGAGGTGAAGCGAGGGAAAAAGGAGTGGTCTGAATTGGAGTGAAGTGGGTTCGAGTGCAGTGAAGCAGCGTCAGGCGAAGTAAAGGAGGTGGACGGCAGTGGATGGAAGTTCAATGTTCACAAGCGCGCAGGACCTGCTGGTCTCCAAGGAGGACCGGATGAACCAGGGCGAGTTCACGTGGCTGCCAGATGGCGCCAGGTATGACGGTCAGTGGAAAGGTCCGCACCGCCACGGTCGGGGTGTCCTCCTGAGGCCCGACGGCGCGAAGTACGTGGGAGAGTTTGCGGAGGACCGCGCCTCTGGCTCGGGCAGGCTTGTGCACGCCAACGGAGATTCGTACGAGGGCGAGTGGCAAGGCGACCGGGCACACGGGCAGGGCCGCTTTGCGCACGCCGACGGTGCGTCCTACGACGGCGAGTGGCTCCAGGACAGGAAGTCCGGCCGGGGCGTAGAGGTCTGGCGGGACGGCTCGAAGTACCAGGGCGGATATTGGGACGGCATGAAGCATGGCCATGGCGAGTTCTCCGCACCCGATGGCTCTACTTATGTGGGCCAGTTCAAGGATCGGCACGATCGAAATGGGTACGGAAAGAATGGGTTCGAAAACCGACAGCAGTTCCTGTCTACTTCGAACAGGGTTCGCTGTCGGCGTCGCTGCGGACGCTGTCCAATGAGACAGACAGGCCGCCGTCAGTTGCACAACATGTGCTGTTGGGCATCATACCCATTTTCCTGGCACCCATCTCGGGCGTCCGAAGAGGAGGACTGCATGGAGGGGCATGGCACGTACCGCCTCGCGGACGGCCGGGAGTACCAGGGCCAGTGGAGCGAGAACCAGATGGACGGCACCTTAGTGGGCTCTGGAAACGACAGGGCCGATTTTTTACCGGTTCCGTTTTGCTGTTTTTGTTGCCGGTTCCGACGCCGTTTTTGTACCGGTTCCGTCGCCGTTTTTTGATGTTTTTTTTGCCGTTTCCAGTTTCAAGGGACATTTTTGGGGGAAACGGTGGAAAAAGGGCCCTGCCGTTTCCAGGGCCCACAAAGGACGGCACCGGGAGAATGACGTGGCCCGACGGCCGTTGGTACGAGGGCGGTTTCCTGGCAGACCGCAAGGCTGGGGAGGGAACGTTCACCTGGCCGGACGGCAGGTCGTACGCAGGCCAGTGGCAGGAGGGGAGGCAGCACGGCACGGGCCACTACATCTCGGGGGCGGACAGAACCCCCAACAGTGACACGTCGATTAGTGAATTGTCCGTTTTCGGTTCTCGAGAGGGCGCCGTGGCCGTCATTTTCCAGGCTTGCGCCCGCCAGGTCTGGGCCTCAGGTCGTTTTCACTAAACCACGTTTACTAAAGGGAGGTCTGTCCATCCCCGATACATCGATGCCAGGGGTGCATCGAGGAGGTGCGCTTGGGAAGGTGGCCGCCGCACGGCTTGGCTCGACTGAGCCGGCCACCGCTTCGAGGTTGCAGCCCGACGCTCTCCCGATGCTCTGTAGGACGCCGAGGCGATGTCACGCGGCTCATGTAGTGTGCTCGCGTTGTGGTGTGGCGCATGGCGCAGTGTTGGCAAATGACACAACTCTTCGGCATCGCCGCAGAAAACAGGCAGACGAACGAATGAGATTACAGTGGAACCCCGTGTCAAGAAACACCCTGCTTGCCTCCAGGGTGCCCTGGGCTTCTTGGCTTTCGATGGTTTTGCCATGGAAAGCGTGACGCCCCCACGCCAAAAATCAATAGACGCCCTGGGGTCTCAGGGTTGGGGTTCTTGTGGAAGGTTTCTTGTGGTCGGACCCCTACTGTAGACAAGTGAGGACGAGGAGAAGCATGCAACGCCCGATCTTCGAGTGCGCGACTTCTGTCGTCGTTCTGCGGCGAGGCAGCGCTTCGGCTGCAACAGTGGAGCTGTGCCCGATAACGATTGAAGGAAGAGGGGAAGGATAATGATAACGAACGGGATAATGAGGAAGAGGAGGAGGACGTGAGGGGGAGGGTGGAAAGGAAGGGAGGGAGATAGAGAAAGAGAGAGAGAGGGTGACAGAGACAGAGAGACAAACTATAGGAAGAGAGAGAGAGAGAGATATCAAAAGAGAGAGAGAGAGAGAGCCAGAGGAGAGGGAATGTAAGAGAGTGCGAGAGAGAAGAGAAAGAGAGAGAGAGAGCCATAGAAAGAGAGATAAATACTGAGAACAAGAGAGGTAGAGAGAGCGAGAGAGGAATGCATATATACATATATACATGTATATGTTTGTGTACATGTGTATATATATATAATGAAAGGTTTGGCACGAGCGAAATATGTGTATACATGTATGAAAGGTGTGTATGTGTGTGCGCGCTGGGACGCAAGAGAAAACGCGAGAGCGAGAGAGCACACAACGAACAACAGAAACATAACCGAGAGGGTGGGGAGCGAGAGAGAGAGAGAGACACACATAGAGAGAAACACGAAACAGAAACGAAAATAGACACCAATGAGAAAGAACAGACAAAGAAACAAGCATTTACATATACATATATACATATACCGATACCCATGTGTTTATACTAACACATGCGCGTGTGCATCTGCACGGTCATTTACACATGCGTATACACATATTTAATTCGTCTTCTAAGAAAGAAGACGCACATACATACATATATATATAGATATGTGTGTGTATGTATGTGTGTATGTGTCTGCGTCAACACATGCATAAGCATACACACATACATATGTACATGAACACATCTTATGTGTGTATACACATCTATGTGTATGTATATATACACATATACATATATATATATATATATATATATGTATGTGTATCTATATATATATATATGTATATTAAGTCGGCCGCGAGCGGGCCCCGGACCGCGGCCACAGGGACACGTGGTCGCTCGGCGGGTGCCCAGGGGCGCCCTCGTGGGCCAACCCGCCGACATCGCGTGCGCACGGATGGCCCACAGACTGGCACGACTGCCTACAGTGCCGTTTTCAACACATGCTCCGCGTGCGGCTCATGTATGAAAAATGCAGGGATTGAGTGTTACAACGAAGAATTCATGCCTAAATTTTGTCATACATTAGTCATGTATTCAAATCCTCTTTTTTTCATAGTTTAGTTTTTTTGGCTTATATCTATCTATATATATACACACACAAAAAAATGCCCGGTACCAGATCAGGCCACGACACCCCGAGGGCGCCGAAGATGCCTTGTGAACGGCCGCCTCCGGAAGGCTTCCGGGCTGCGCCAGGACGGCCCCGTGTAGGCTTCAGTGGGCGCCCGAGGCCCCAAACGAGTGAAAATGTGTGAGTCAACGCGCCAGCGTGCCCCAAACCCCGCGAGCTCTCGCTACTCGGGGCCTTAACCCCATGCAAGAACAATCTTGTCTTATACAGAAGACTATACTGGGACCTGTTAGACGTCACTTCGTGCCCCGGAGCACCGTGGTGGATAGTGGCGCACGAGGGTATCATAGTACTAGACGCAGCAATCGAACGAGCACGGGTTGCAATATGAATTGTAGCTGCACCAGTAGTACGAGTATTAGTAGCATTGGTTATTGTAGTGGCAGTGGTGGTAGTGGTAGTAGTAGTAGCAGAAGAAGTAGTAGTAGTAGTAGTAGTAGTAGTAGTAGTAGTAGTCGTAGTCGTAGTAGTAGTAGTAGTAGTAGTAGTAGTAGCAGTCGTAGTAGTGATAGTAGTAGTAATCATAGTAGTAGTAGTCGTAGTCGTAGTCGTAGGATAGATGTAGTCGTAGCAAGGGTAGTCGCAATAATGTTAATAATAGTAATAGTCGTAATAATAGGAGTAGAGGCCGTAGCAGTTGTAGTAGTAGTAGTAGTAGTAGTAGTACTAGTAGTAGTAGTAGTAGCAGTATCAGAAGTAGTAGTAGGTGTAGTTGTCGTGGTCGTAGTAGTTGTAGTACTTGTTGAAGCAGAAGTAGTAGCAGTAGTAGTAGTAGTAGTAGTAGTAGTAGTACCAGTAGTGGTAGTCGTAGTAGTAGTAGTCGTCGTAGTAGTAGTAGTAGTAATAGTAGCAGCAGTAGTAGCAGTAGTAGTAGTAGTAGTTGTTGTTGTTGTAGTAGTTGTAGTAGTAGTAGTAGTAGTCTTCGTGGTAGTAGGTTTAAGTAGTCGTAAAAAAAAC